CACGTTCCATGTGAAGCATACTTTTATATCCCACTTTCTCATAGAACTTTTTCCGAAATTTACTGATATTATCAAGTGTGAACTGGCTTTGTGTCTGCATAACTAAGAGAACTGTTTATGAACGAGTCGAGAAAAGGCGGGAAAATTGTTGCAGTGACGTTACGGATGAGACGTAGCCATCATTAGCCTTATTCTCTCGCCCCCTTTCCCCAGGCTTACGAAATGTTGGAGTGTGTACGCGTGTCTTAGGCGATAAAATCCCCCCCATCCCAGCCCATCCCCTCCTCGTTTGCTGATTGGTTGGACCTTTGGTTTTGCGATCCTGGAAAAAGGCGGACTTCAAAGATGGCGACTGTCGCCTTGCTACTTCGTGATATCCACCGAGTCAGGTTTAATAGTCGCCGCTGGACCCGGCATTTCAGCTTCCTGTGTCGCAAATAATTAGCTGTAGTGACTTGGCTTTGACTAGAGAAACGATATGAGGAATTGCGATGCTTCTACTATTGAATAACTTTTGCTGATTTTTGAACAGTACAGTCTTTAACGGAAATGCATTTCTCTTCGTTAAGAATCGTTTTGGAAGGTGAATCCACGCTTCATATTAAGAGAGTGTGGTTTTCATCCTTCTGCCCTTCCCATCAAAGGTCGCACCTCACACCTTCAGGTAATCACTATGACAACAAGAGGAAGGAGGAGGTGGTGGGGTGGTGGAGGAGGCGGGGAAAGACAGGCCAAAATTACCATGCCACACTCATCACTGACTCATCGTTCCCATGTCCGACCTACAAGTAGGCATGTTTTGACCTTCTTCTTCACCACCGCCTCCTTCTTCCTTTACTCACCCTTCTACGTGTAAAAAGGTCTTTGTCGGAAGCCAGGTAGAAAAAATCCAAGGCTAGACTCTACAGACTCCTTACCTCCTTACAGAGGAAAGGAATTTGACGGCAGTTTCTGCTACTTTGTTTGCATGTGACTGCGTCCACCTTCTCGGTCTGTCTGCCGGTGGCGTGGTGCTTCGCTTATGCTACATTTCTGTCAGTAGGCTGTTTGGTTAGAGAGGGGAACGCAACCCACATCCGGACACCTCTGCCGCCTGAGGTGTACAGCGAAAAGTGGGACTTTACCGTGTGATGTGATGACTAGACGTTGAGGTAGTGTGAACAGTGGTGTCCCTTTCATTGCAGTGTCAAAGCTGATTGTCTGGAAATACACTCTCAGTCGGTTGACTTACTTGCCTCTTTGCGAGATATTATTGAGCGTTCAACAATGTTGTTCGACGAGCGCGTTCCTTATTCTAATCGACTTTTGCGGAAATAGTTGCCTATAAGCTTCTTAGAATTACGGCTTTCTTCATCCATCGTTATCACTTCAGTGGTGTCAAACTATTTCTGCGTTCAAGGCGTTCCGCCCCCAACTTCAATTATCTCTTTAGGCCAATATAGTCTTTTTTCCACACTGTTTTGTTTCATTTAACCTGGGTCTAGCTCATCAGCGACCACGAAATCAAGCCTGCCATCACTTTGTTCGAGTACTGTTATCCACTGTTTTTCGTTTAGAAAGGTTGCCAGGCGTGGATGTTGAGTCTATCTTACCGTACTGCCACTATTGTAGCCGCCGATCCACTACCAAAGACGCTATTGGGCATATGAGTTCAGTAGCTTAGATGACGCGGTCATGGCTCCTGCGTGGAGGTTGCGTTGCGAGGAATTGAAACGGCCTAAATAACTCAAGCAGGCATCACACTGCTGCACAGCCTCCATCTCATCGCCACTGGTGGTTATCTCCCCATACCAGGGTCATTTAAATCAGACACAAGAAGTAAGAACATCAGGGAGGTTTCCTCATTCTGCTAGTCGTTTACCTCGTTGATCTCAACAGGAATTCCTCCAATCTTGCTCTTCCCACTAGTGGAATTTATTTGAGAAGTCTGTTTTTATCGGCAAAGCCCAATCAAATAGGAAGACTGGGCAAAAAATTAGGAAAGTTATAGCACAGTTTCTCTACTTTGCAATTCAGTTTATTTGGAACGCATTTTTCAATCACACACACACACACACAGAAGTCAGAACTGAATATGGCTAGAAGATTTCCTACTTCTTCCGCCAGCGGTTCATCCCATTGATGTTGGCTGGAATACCTCAATCCATATCCTCGTTTGGGAGTTTGTGCGTCCACCGTTAAAGCCACTTTTTAGGGGCTCTATATGAAGTAACTACATGAATTCGGCCATTTTATGTCATTGAATTGAAATAATTGCGCAAAGACTTGCAACTTACTTTTATTCGCTAAAACAATCACCACTAAAATCGGCGAATGGGATGTGTCTAAAGCTTACACAAGACAACGCTGGTGTAGGGCATTTAGCTCAATCGATTGAATGTGGAAGGTTGAGTGTTGTCTCCTCTTCCTTTCAGCTTGCTAAGCACATCACTCGCTGTCGTGGTTGCCGCATCAGTTGGATAACCCCCTTGGGTTTGCCTGTCGTGCAACCCTACGTCAACCAGGCAGACTTCGAGCTCAATTTATGGAGCGGGGAGCTTTCCAACGCCGCCGCCTCCACTACGGCGTGGGCTACTGCACTGACGAAAGCAGCTCGTCGCGCAGAGCAGCAGTTTCGCCGCGGCGGCGCGCGCGACTCTCTAGTTGGACTGCCGCTGCCGGACCCGGTGAAACAGCAGAACGCCTTTCCGCCCAACTTCATCCACTCCCTCGACTCCTGCCACATGATGCTCACGGCGCTGCACTGTCTCCGTGCTGGCGTGATGTTCGCCTCGGTGCATGACTGTTTTTGGACCCATGCCGCATCGGTGGATCAACTCAATCGGGTCAGTTGGGAGAGGGGATGAAATTTGGCTTACCTTTACCGATCATCCTCAGTTTGGAGCATCCACCTCTAACACATCTAATTACCACACTATTTGGGGACATCGGATCTTGCGCACAGTTTACTGCTTTGCATCTCGGAGTCACACTTTATTTCATTTCTACTCAGGCCGTCCATTTGATTACTCCTAGTTTCTTGCAACTTAGGAAGACACGATGTCACATTCCTAGCTCACTGCATGATACTGTCGGTTGCTCTTTCTCATGATGTCGACTTTTTCACCCCACTATTAGTCATTACGTGAAATTCGAGCTATCAAAAGTTGGCACAATTTGATTGGTCCTATAGAGTTAGCCATTCACAATGATAGAATCGTATGGAACTTTTTGATTTTCTATCTGGTCATGGAAGTCAGATGTGTTATTCGCTTGCAGCGGAGTTATGAATGTTGTTCTCGGTGAGGCACTCGAGTTATCTCTGAAAGCACTATGTGAGGCAAATAGCAGAGCCCCATGCCGTCATCGTGGAGACGGCCTCGCTTGAGATCGGAAGAGCCCAGTTAGTCACGCACAATTTAAATCTCACTATACCATACGCCTCCCGTCTTCCCTTGAGCTCCCTTTGTGGTGGCTTTTCTGTTTCAACCACTTCCAGAGAGTCATCCATGTGACAAGAAAGAAGATGACATGATGAATTTGCATAATTGCGAAAAGAGCGTTTGAATAGCAGTGTGTGTGTCAAGATGCATTCTCTCGTTCCTCTTCCACACTAGAAAGACTGACTGCATCCTCAACATCTATCCGGGAATCAAATCAGGGTCTGCATGCCACCTCCTCGGTTGCGTCGCCATAGCTAATAAGGTAGCATTTTTGCACTTACCCTCATCCCTCAACCTAATCTGACCTTAAGAGGGGAAGGGGAAGTACGGGGGAGGCAGTTAATTTGGAACTCGGCCCTACCCTGTGGCATCATTAATTATTGGTAAAGTCTGTCCTCTCATAATAATTTAGAAATCCACCGAAAATTTCGAAGTCCACCCATAAAAGTGGGCAAGTCAGAGGCAAAAATAATTCTGATAATTGAGGAAATTCATTAATTACTGAAAGTAAGTTGTGTATTCCGCCTCGAATTTGGAAGCTTTTCTGTTCAAATTGAAGGAATCAACCAGCTCCTGTTGCGGAAAACGGCTGTTTGAATTACGCGGTTCTGCTTTTAGTGCAATCCACTAAAGGTGGAAAATAGCTAATTAAACTGACTACTTCTTGAAAGTTCACTGTTTTTAATCTCTTTTCGTCCATTTGTGTCCATAAAAGCCTGGCGATTTTCACTATGCCCATAGACCTTCAAGGTCTTGTAGAATCTCACAGTAATTCTGTACCACCTAAACAGTAAGAATTCTACAGTGATTCTTACTACTACATAAATAGGGCACATTTATCTTGTTCAGTGCAACCATCAAGATTTTTCTGCTTGTTTCTTACACAAGGAAGTAAGCTATTGCTGGACTAATGAGCTGGAAACGTTTCCTGTTTTAGCTGTAATGCAAAATTGGCAAACTTAGCCAAGATTGACGTTGGATTCACCTTTGAAAGCTTCGTAGTTTGGGAAGTGGGTAAATGTCCAGAATGAAATTACTTATGCGAGTAGATCTTCTTCCTTTTTTTCTTCCACGAGTCTATGCTGATTCAGTTCAGAATATTGTGAAATAATTTGTTGATTCAATGTCGAATCCAGCGTTGCGTGGAGAAATTATTCAAGGCGATAGGTGGTGCTCGTAGTGTACTTCGCAGTCTCCTGAATGTGCTCACTGGTTGATTCTATTTGATTGGAACAGTTTATTGGAGCGAGTTGCAACAGATCACGGGTTTTTCCGACTGGATCTGAAATTTTGAACCGCGTGGCTTTTCTATTTAATTCATTGCCAGTAGAATTTCGTAGAGGGCCTTTCATTACGTTATGAATCCTCGATTCCCCATTGAATCGCACGATGAACGAGGCGGATTCATGATGAGGCCAAATTTGAAGCAAAATCACTTCCAGATGGATGGTTCTTTAGCGAAGAAAGTTAACCATTACGTCTTGAAGATTTCTTTTTGACGCAAAAACTGTATGTCCGGGCTCCATGAAATCGCTTCTGCATCTCTTTGCCGCAGTCAGGGGCACGTCTTGTTCCGCATTCCTTCGTTGAAGACAGCATCGAACCAACTGATGGGAATGCTTGTATTCACGTATGATTTACAAATGCATGTGAATTTATTTCAAAATTTGAGCCAAAAAGGTGTGGGATGAACTGCTTGACATTGCTGCACTTTTACCTTGTAGCGATTAGCCTTGTGTTCACGCCGAATTCCAGTCGAGTCCATAGAGAGGTGCTTCTTTTTTACCGCTGCGTTCGAGTTGCTTGTCAAATTTGGATCATTTTTGAGGGAAAAAGAGGGAGCTGGTTGAAAATAGGTGCTACTGTTAAAAGGTAGAGCATGAGGCTTTAATCAAACAAGAGAACAAAAGCAGACATCTGCTTTGACATTTCTTTCGGTGGCGCCTGGCTACGATGCTCAATTTGTCGCTAAATGTAGAATGGTAAATGTTGGTCCTTCAAATTTTATTCATTATTAGAAGAGAAAATAAGCTGACGAACGACATAAGGCAATCAGGTGACTGTGCAATTTGTTCCCTAGCAGAGCTTGGTGAAATTGTTTATTTGTTGAGGGAATTAGCACTACAATCCTTCACCTAACATCTCTTTCCAGCGACGGACAAATTGGCTGCGAATTCCACCTTTGTTTGAGGCTTTGTCTCCAGAGGCCAGGACAATAAACCTCCGTTTCTATCACAATTTGACTTCCCAACGAACTGCCTGGTCAATTTCACGTCACCGTGTCATTGTCTAACTGTCGCTAATGCCGACGCCCTGGACCTGGGGCTGGTGAGGGAAGGCAAACTGGGGCTGGGGCTGGGGATAAGACAGTACCGCCTTCCCACCCACTCCGAAGTGAACGGATTCGTACGACTGGGTTTAACAGCACCACAGGGTCCTGCTACTTGTTGTCAAAATAGACCTGCTTTCCGACCCCTTGGCTAGTCCCTATTGTTCTCTAAGAGGAAGAAAGTAAATAGAGAGGAGGAAAAAGGAAAGAGGAGGAAGAAGTGACTTTGCCCCACGAAAAATCCCTTCTCCACCTCATATCTTATGACTCCTAATGCCATTCTTCGCCAAGTTTCTATAATTTTTTGAAATTATATCATAGTAACTAAGACACCAAAGAGACTCATTTTAAGGACACAGGGGGAGTTGACAATGGAGCCAGTCTTCTCCCCACTCCATCTCTGGCGTACTGATTTGTAAAAGCAAGTGTGTTTCACAGGTCGGGAGACACATACAGGTTGGGGGAATTTTTTTTATCCCCACAGCAATGAAAATGAGAATGGTGGTTTTATCATGACAGGAATCGCCAGTAGCTTCACTGCCCACTTATCAAATGGACGGAGGGCAGTAATTGGACTGCTCCATCTTCCCTTCCTTTCTTCCTCTCTTGAGCCAAATTTTGATTGTTTTTTTTTTTCATTTGCTTGTTTGTGTGCCTTTTTTATGTCGCCCAAGCACACTTCCTAGGGAATGTTGGTGCCCGATGTAATTCCAATGTCCCAAAGTGTTGATCTTCGCTTTTATCTTTCCGTTCTCCTCATTGGACTCAATCACTCTGCTTGAATACCGCCTTCCCCTTTTTATCGAGCATTTCTCTCAAAGACTGGCTGGGTGACTGGAGGCTTCGAAAGCCCTCCTCTCATGCTCTCATAAAAGAAGAAATGAATTTTTCTTTTTGAAGTCAGGACTAATTGCATACAATTTCTGACGTACTTCCTGGTGAAATAAGTATAAATTTACCCCTTTCTTCCAATGTTACCTGTTTACCGATTAGACAGTAGGTTCATGCTCTCCTCCGCGTTCCTCCTGAATTAATTAATCAAAAATGATGTTTTTAAATCCCATTTTTTGCATATCTCTATTTTTCGATAAAATAACTTTCTTTTCACAAGTTCCATCCCGTGCTGTTCAGTAAAAAAGATAGCCCCTGTTTTTGTGTGGAAAATTGCGACTTTTGAGGTCATCGTCTTGCTTCACTGACCCTTTTTTGTCTCAGAAAAGAGAATTTGATACTCCCATAAACGTTAATTAAAATGTAGTGAGCGTCCTTTGTGTCCACCTTTTCTCCCTCTCCCCTGCATTGTTGTGGTCTGCATTTGTCAAAACTGTAAAAGCACCAATCACCGTCTCCTTTTTGTTTTTCAAATTCCATGATTCAAATCGCTCCTCATAATTTTTGTTCCGTAAGTTAAAAATGAGCTGGCTAAGTTTTAGGCCAATCGCATTTCTTTTGTGTCCGAAAAAAGGAATGAAGCACTTTTCCACTATGTTTTGAATGCAGTGGCTGCACAAAATGGGGTCTTCCCTATTTTGGTTGCTGCCCACCTTGTACAGTGTGGGGAAATGCCAAATCTAATATTTTTTCACTTTTTTACTAAGAATGATTGTGAAAGATTCTTTTTCGCTTATTGAGTAATCAGATTATGGAATGGATAGTTGTCAAAGTAGATGTAATCTTCCAAGGCTGCCACTTTCTTCTGGTGCTTTTTGGCGCTAAATTTATGTCAAAAGACGCTATAGTGTAGTGCCTCTAGTCTTTCCTGAATTTGACCGAAGACAATGCCACCACAGAAAACTTATTACCGACGCACAGAGGGACTGTAGCTACTAGCCTACCTCGAAGGCTATTCCATCCAGCTGAAGTACGATTGCGGAGCCTTCAGTAGCTGAGCAAATAATCAAAGTACCAACTACCTCTCCTCTCCCCCAACTCTCCTTTTGAGCGTCCTTCCTGGCGCTGCCCTTGGTCAACCTCCCGCGTCGGCCATTCCAACGTAGTTGGTGCTGTAAGGAAATCATTCACAAACCAACCGCCCCAGTCATAAAATCTGCGTGCAACTGAGGAAATGTGACTG